TCAAGAAGTTATAACTTCTTGCGCTAATGTATTAAATAGTGTTGCATCTTTTCTGACATTTTCTCTTGCCGCATGGATACATTTATTTATAAATGATCACGACTGCTACTATTCTTCAGTCAAAATAACATGAAGGATTGACTATTTATTATATTTCTCCAAAAATATAGATAAAGCAAACAAATCTCACAGAATTACATTGATGACGAAACTAATAAGCGGATGTTGATATTCGAAACTTGTCAGTACGCAGGTCCCGCGCCCTCAACATAAGATGTTATATTTGTATTACTGCGCCAGGCAGAATAAAAATAAACAACTTAACGCTCACACAAGAGATCCAAGTACGTACACAGTCGTTTTTATTTTACGGTTTACGTCGCGACTGTCAGGAATAAAGGCATTAAAGGCATTGGTCACACACACACTCTTAAAGGGTATCGGAGTTCAAAGAAGCGTATCGGCAAAAAAAGTAGCGTATCGGCAAAAAAAAATAGCGTATCGGGGCCGATACGCTATAAAGGCCTGGGGAGAACCCTGAATATTATGTATGGAAAGCGTAATTTAAAAGAAAAATATTTGACAATTTTTTAGTTATGATGAAAAATTATGATTTTGCAAAATTGAGATGTAAGCTTTTATCCAATTTCTTATTATCAGAGCATCGTAAACTCGACTAATACATTGATATCGTTTATCATTTTCTTTAACAGCTAGTTTACTTATGAAAGCTGGTAAAATGGAGGCAGCAGCCAAGATCTACAGAGAGCTTATAGACAGGAATCCAGAGAATTGTGCCTACTACAGTGGTTATGAAGAAGCTTCTAATCCAGGTGGGAGGTCAATCTCATATCTCAGATTGGGAGTTTTCATCTCTTTTTGTTGGGTATCCACCTCTGTGTTAACGAGATTTAAAAATTTTGCTCTATGTTTTTATATGTACAGAAAAAAAAGGAAATTTAGGGGAGGGTGAGATGATGCCATCCATGATATGTAGATCCCTTGCTTTGTTGATATTTAAACTTTTAACTCGGGTTCTTCAGAACATTGAATTAAGAAATGTTCGTTGTGAGCATTGGTTTACTGCTCACTTTGGTGCTAAGTGTATCAAAATTGCATCCAGTTACTGAAATATTCAAGATTTCCATTTCCATGATCAAAATAGACTATCAATGATTAAAACATTGACTTGTGGGTGTCTTTTTACCTTATATTTTGAAGCTATTCAAAAGTTCACTGGCGCCTGTGTTAAAATAACTAAGTTTAAATTACTAAAGAAATTTCTCAAATTGAATTCTCTTTAATACATATAACATTTTTCCTGCAGCTTCTCCAGAAGAAAGGTTGAAATTGTACCAAGATGTTCTGACAAAGCTTCCGCGTGCGTCTGCTCCTAAGAAGTTACCTCTAGGATTCCTAACAGGTAGCTGTATAGTAAAAAGAGTACCATTTTTTTATTTTTTTATTTATTTATTATTATTATTATTATTATTATTATTATTATTATTTATTATTTCTTTTTTTAACTGAATTTGTGGAATTGGTATGTTTGCAGTTATTTACAATATCTTGTGGAAAAATTCAGGTGAGCCTTCTGATGCTCATTTAAATTGGGGCTTAAATAAGCTCATCACCAGTGTTATATTTGATGTGCACATTTGGGACAAAAAGAGACAGGATATGCTGTTATTCCATGCACATATTTTTTTTAGTGCACTGTGTGCAAAAAGAGACAAAATGCCAGTATTATAAATCTACTCAAAAGTACTGGGAAGTTTTACCCTCTTAGAAAATGTTAGAAGTCTAATAGTAATGTTTTTTGTGTGTTACAGGAGAAGCATTTAGAAAGAGAGCTGATGTTTTTCTAAGAAATGGTCTACATAAAGGTGTACCCCCTCTGTTCACAAGCCTTCGTCCTGTTTACAAAGATCCAGAAAAGGTGGGAAGTAGAAACAGCTTTCATTAATTGGCTGACATTTTTTTTTAATTTCAAAATTATTGATTTTGCATGTAGCAGTTGGATTCTTACAATTTTCATATTTACTTTTGGGATGTGACTTTTGGGGGAAATTATTATAAATTAATTGTATGTGAGAGAATGCTTCCAAAGACTGAATGAATGTAAACGTCTCTATTTTTGATTTTATTTTGTGTTGTATGACTTCCAGGTCAAAATAATTGAAGAATTAGTGTTAGGCTATGAACAATCTCTACAAGAGACTGAATATTTTAGTCCAGAAGGTAAGATTTGGGTTTCTTAGTGAGTTTATAGAAGTTGTAGATAGAAAAGTAGATGTTTTGACAGATGGCAGCAGTAGATTTTGTTAAGAGAAAGGAACGTGTTATACTTTCAAATCACTACTTTGAATGGGATTTGTTTACTTTTTCACTATTTTTGCCTTAATTCAAAATGTCAACCACATGTTATTAAATCAAAATACAATATTTACACAAAATCAAAGTGCACATTGCATATTATTTGATTTTTGCCATCATCTTGTTTTTTAGACGTAGGCAATGCAGAGCAAGAATCGGCATCAGTATTACTTTGGACCCACTACTTCCTGGCACAACACTATGATTTCCTGAACCAAACCGAAAAGGCACTGGCCTACATCAACAAACCCATAGAGAGCACACCTACTTTAGTTGAGCTGTATGTACTGAAAGGGAAAATATACAAGGTAGGGAGAGTTAATGCAATGTGTAATGGTAGATACTCATTTAAATTCAACAAAACAGATAAGGCACATTTATATAGGTTATTCTCAGTGATATCTACAGGTTATTGGAAAGCTCTTGTGTAGTGAGTTGGGTTATTTTGTCAATCTCTGACCTCACAGAAGCCAATTATCTTAGTCCTGTTCAATGTTCTGTGATTTTGCCCCTGATATTTTATCACATTACTTGTGTTCTCGCTAACACTCACCAATTTAGCCAAATGCTAAAACTGACTGAAATTGGCTAAACAAATTGGGGTTGATTTGACTCATTTTAGTCAAATTTAAACCATTTGTACAAAAAAGCAATGAAAAAGTAGTAATTTGGCTAAACGAAAAAAAATTGCTAGCGCCACCCCAGGTTCTGTTACTTCACCTTGGTAGTATTAAATTACTTGGTGTTGTACTATGTTACTATACCTCTGTTACATGCTTTTACTTGGTTATATTCTTTACTTTATCTGTGTTTTATTCTGTTATTTGGTGTTATATTCTTTCCTTTACCTCTGTTATGTTCTATTACTTGGTGTTATCTTCTTTATTTATGTTATATTCTATTACATTACAGCATGCTGGTGATATTCACAGTGCGGTAGAGAACCTGGACGAGGCCCAGGCCCTGGATACGGCCGACAGGTTTGTCAACTCCAAGTGTGCCAAGTACATGCTGAGGGCTAACATGGTCAAGGAGGGGGAGGAGATGTGCTCCAAGTTCACTAGGGTAAGTGAAATTCCCATCAGGATAAGTAGGTAGTGTGTTTAAGAAAATGTTTCCCAAAGGTAATATGATCAAAGCTCAATGTTCAAGTGAAAGTCCCAATAGGATCAGTGTGTTGTAAGTTTAAGAAATATTTCCCAAAGGTGATGTGATCATTTGCTCAAGTTTGGGGTTGGTATAAGTAGGTTGGTGTGTGAAAAGTTCTAACAGTGG